CTTTATGATTATTGTGGATTTGGGATATATATGAATAGACTATTTCACATACAGCTTTAAACATATCATTTTTAATTATACATTTTAAATCCTTTTGTTTACTATTAATATATATTTTTTATATTTTTTTGAATTTTTTTATTATTAATATATATTTTTTGAAAATATATGTATTTCCCTGTTTTGGATATAATCACATGAAGTCTTATCCATATAATTACTTTTAGTAATACACATATAGACTCTTTTGTGAATCCAAACCACAGAAACTCTGAACTGTGTTAATCTTGCAAGTGCAGAGCTGTGGTTGTGTAAAGCATCAATAAAGTTAGGTTGCGTTCCAGGGTGGTTTGCCACGCATTCGCAAAGCAGCCGTTCATGTGTCATGACGTATGGCGTTATGCCCGGCATGGTTCGCACATGCGTGGTCACCTAATGAGAAGTGAACACCGGCGGATTTAAAAAGAAGAAGAACAGGAAAGAATATAGAAGCTCCTGAGGAAGTCGGATTATCGATGAAACGTGTTCATTTTATCTTTACTCTGTGGTTTTATGTATGTACAAGGTTAGGAGTGACCTTTGGACAGAGGCTTGCCTGGATGTAATTATTATCACTCACTCCACCCATCCACTTTTGGTTGTTTCTTCCTCCATATAATCTTAATTCTTGTGAAAAAAAACCCTGAGTATATTCCAGGCTAATCTATTTGTACCTTCCTGTTATCCATTGATATATACATTGCATTCTCAACTCATCCAGATGGTTCCTCAGTACTAGTAAGGCTTTCAATGTCCAGCTAATTGATGACTATTAATCTCAGGATTTGGGCTGGTTTCTCAAGTGCAGACTCTATTGGCTTTGCTCTTACATGTGCACAGAAATTCTTGTCTTTAACGCCAATCCACAAACAGGTTCATTATATAACCAAGACGATCCATTACACTCCAATTTAATTTTATATAGTTTTTTTTTACTGGCTTACTACATCATTTGATTCTAATACATGTAAACCCTTCTGACCATAGCAAACAATTGTTCAAAATTATGCAGCTTTACTGCTATAAATTAAAACATAATTATATAATTTCACTCTATATTAAGCAAGAGTTCTGCATTTTAGTGATTTATTTTAGCTGTCTATTAAGTCATGTTTACATGGACCCGATTCTCATCAGGTTAAAACCTGTGAAGAGAGCTGAGGAAAATGAAGATACATTTTCCTGATATGACTCTAATCTAGATCTCAGAAGAAAAAGATATTATTAAAAATGACAACATATTTTTCACACATTCTATAATATTTCATTAAATAAGTGATGCTTATATTTGTACTAAATGGCAAACCAATTACCAACTGAAACCTAATACTTCCTTATTAAATCATTATTTCCCTGCCTACAGACAAATTTTAGTTAGTTTAATTATTAATTCCTAGATATGTGTTGCATTTAGATCTATTTGAGTTCTTTCTATGTTCTTCACACATCTGTAATGCTGTAAAATCTCTTGTAGACAAACCTAACACATTTTCCAGCTAATTTCTAATTCTTGCATCCCCTGCTAGGAGGTGCATAATGCAGTTCATCTGCTGATATTTATAGGAACAATCACAATAAAGTTAATTTTTAGTGGAAGAGTCTATACTCTAATGTGGTAAAAGATCTAAAACCCATATATAATTATCATGCCTCAATTCCTAATGTAATCATGGGTAACCTTTCTTGATACTGTTTTTATTACTAACTTTATGCAACTCGATACATATTAACTCAGTTATTGAAACTAGAAGTACTGTGGCTGGCAAACATGCATTTATTACATGTCATATTTGGTAGAGTTATTTATAATTTTCAACATACAACTTTCTTTAAAAATAAAATACATTATATAGAGGATGTAGCTGTGAATCTACAAGAAAGACACTGAAATAGTGTAATACAGTATATGAAAAAGCAAATTGCGCTGATGGAAATTCACTCACACGATATATGATGACTATTGATGATGAATATGTCGCCTTAGGGTGTTTCGCCTTGGAAATCTGGGGGGCTATCTCCATATCGCCTGATTTCAGGCACAAAACCAATATTTTAAACCAGGACTAAGGGTAAATTCTAAAAAGGTTCAAATGTATTAATACAACTATAGTAACCTATAGAGGGAAAAGCAGTAGGCTCAGTAAAAATATCTAAAGTTATTTATTTATTAAATTATTTCTATTGTTGGTCACTTCTCACTTGATTAGTGAATGTCCCCTAGCCATCATCTTTTTTTTCCCATCAGCCATCTCTTTTTTTTTTATGCCACAGGCAGGATTCAGTTTGGTCATACTATGGCTTGTTTGGTTTTAGATTTGGCTACATTTAGGTTCAGAGTTGGGAAATTTGATTTATCATCTGAGCAGCCAGAATTTGGAAAAACTGCAGTTTGGACAAAAAGGAAAAAAGCAATCTCCAAGTATTATAAAAACGGGAATTAGAATGCAAGTAGTTATACTGTTATTTAGCGGGACTCATGTAGCAGTGCAGGCAAGCAGTAATAGAATTATTTGCTTCAACAGAGAGAGGTGAAAAAGAGAAACTGAGTGTAAGTAATACTAAATGTATTAAATGGGACTAAGTGTATTGAAATGGGAAACTGGTGTATATGAGATGGCGAATGTGTAAGAGGTTGTTTAAGAAATATTTTCTTAAAAGATCATTTCAATCACCATAAGTCACTGTAGTGGTTATGGTGCAAGAAGTCCCCTAGTGCCCTCCCACTGTAATAAGTCAAGTCATTTAAAATGATTTGACATCTTCCCTGGGATATGCTGGGTAGCATTCCCCATCCCCAACTAACTCTCTCTCAGTCTTTTAGCTAGCTCTGCATAGCAGGGCTTTGCTCATTAAAACAATAAGGGATGCATGGTACTCCGATGCGGATATGGTATTTTCAGACGGACATATGCAGGAAAACATTGCCCACACTAATATAAATTCAGCCTTTAATCACTTGACATTCCTCTTTAAGCAACAAATTAGAGCTGGTTGGGAAATAGCCTCACTTGAGAAATATTTAAGCAAAGAACTTATCCCAAGGGGGCTAAGAGTTCAAAATATCCCTGCCCCTCACATAGAGGAATCTGAATTTATTAAAGAATGGGAAGAAGCAGCGGGAGTTTGTTCCCGTAAGTTCATGGATATACTATGCAGATATGAGAAAAAGAGGCTAGAAAAAGTTAATAAAGAGGTAGATGAGGAGATAGAAAAGATTCAAGTTTATAAAAAGGAAACAAACTTTGAACAATTTGAAGTAAAACTCAAGAATCAGATAGATAGATTCCAGACAACGATAAAACCAAGAAAACACTCTAAGTTCATGAGGGACTCCAAAGATTTTCAGACTGGCAATATCTATCGCAAATTCAATAGAAGTAAAAGAGTGGACTTTGACAAGTACTCCACCTCTGAATACGAGACTAGTGGATCCGAATCAGAACCAAGTGTAGAAGGTGCATCTACTTCAACTGATTCGAACCCCAAAAGTATCCTTAAAAAAGGGATTAATTTTTTAGCCAGAACCAACATAGAAGAAAGACCACAGCGCAATACAAGGAACAGAGCCAACACGCAGGGTCAAAAACGCAGGAAAGCCTATTAACCCATGAAAGTCAGATCATTAACCTATCTACCCATTGTCTGACCTCCCTAGAGATCCAAGTCCTCAGAAGAGGGATGTCATTTGTCCCCACACCAAAATTTGATAAATTTGGCTGGACAAAGGACATCCATCTATTTGCACGAAAATTAGCCCTTCATAAATTTCATTGCATACAAAAAACAAAACGAGCTACTAGGTTGGGTCTAGAAACCCAAGATATGGACCTTCTGGATAATCTAGTTGATCTTTTACACAGTAATGATCCCCCTATGAAACTAGGCGCACCATTTACGACTTTGAGACCAAAAAGCAAATTTACCCCTCATATTTCGGATTTCAAGTATATCGATCTCTTTGTGGAACTTACCTGCAAAGAGATCGAAAATATGGATGAAAAGCCTTAGACGCTTTAAAACAAAATGACTCTGTTGTTATCAAACCCTCTGATAAAGGGGGTAATACGGTGGTCTTGAATAGATGTGATTATATCCAAATGGTACATCGAATTCTTGATGACAAAAACACATATGTCATTCTAAGTACTGACCCCACAACTAAGTACCTGAGGGAATTGAAGAACATCCTAGATGAAGGACTTCAACCTAATTTAATAACCAATGATGAATTTAGGTTCTTGTTCAATAACAAACCGACAACAGCGACCTTTTATGCCTTACCAAAGATCCATAAACAACAAGCCGTACTATCAGGGAGACCTATCGTGTCAGGTAACAATAACCTAACACAAAACTGTAGTGTCTATGTGGAATTTATTTTACGGGATCTAGTGAAATCTCTCCCTTTTTATCTGAGAGATACCAAGCAAACTCTTAATATCCTTAAAGATCTGACTATACCTACCAATGCAAAGTTATGCAGCTTGGATGTAGAAGGTCTATACAGTTCCATCCCTCACACAGTCGGGATGAAACATATAAAAGAATTCCTCCAGACTAGAGACCCCACTCTTAAAGAACATAACATATTTGTTTTAAAACTTCTCCACTTTATTCTGACACATAATTATTTTCTTTTTGAGGGTAAATACTACCACCAGGTGAGAGGCACAGCTATGGGGACAACTTGTGCGCCCTCATATGCCAACCTCCACCTGGGATGGTGGGAACAAAATACTGTATTTAACTCTCAACTTGCCAAATATACAGAATACATCATCCTTTGGAAACGTTACATAGATGATGTCCTGATAGTATGGACAGGCCCTGACGAACTGTTTATTAAGTTTGTGGATGAACTTAATACGAATGACATCAATCTCAGATTTACCTATGAAGTTGGTGGACAAAAACTGAACTTTCTCGACGTCACCTTGGGTATAACCCCTGACAACCATCTGTCTACTACACTTTATCAAAAACCAACAGCAACCAATAATTTTCTTAACTGGGGGAGTTACCATCCCCCCACTCTAAAAAGAGGGATACCGATAGGCCAATATTTAAGGCTAAGAAGGAACTGTTCCTCTCTTGAGGACTTCAAATTGAAAGCAAATACCCTTAGGTCTCACTTTAAGACCAAGGGCTATCCAAACAAATGCTTGAAAAAGGCGTACCAGAGAGCCCTCCTGACAGAAAGGTTGGATCTTCTGACAGACAACTCTATACAGAGAACTGATCAGAAACCCATTAGGTGCATTGGCACCTTTGATTCAGGATGGGATATGGTAAAAAGGACATTGGAGAGATTTTGGCCTCTTCTGTACCAGGATCTACATCTTAAAGAAGTTTTGACTCCCTTTGTATCCATCACGGCCAGAAGAGGTCGTAATCTGAAGGATATTTTAGTACCAAGTCACTTACATATACCCGTTCCTAGTAGGACCTGGTTGAAATCACCTGCAATAGGTACTTTTAAATGTGGCCGTTGTAAAGCCTGTAAATTTATCAGAAAACAATCAAAGACTTTCTCTAATTCATCCAACACGGAAAGCCACACCACTAAGACCTTCTTTAATTGCCAAACATCTGGCCTGGTATACCTCATTACATGTAGTTGTAATATGAAGTACGTAGGCAAGACCATTAGACCTTTCAAGAATCGAATTTTGGAACATATCAATTCTGTCAATCCATCTAGACAAATTGATACACCGATTTCACGCCATCTTAAAATTCAACATGGTGGATCGGCGCAGGGTCTACGTTTCAATGGTATAGAGAGAGTGACAATGGGCCCAAGAAAAGGAGATGTCGACAAGAAACTCTTACAGCGAGAAAGCTATTGGATTTTCAAATTAAAGACCTTATCCCCTCTAGGCTTGAATGAGGGTTTTTCTTACACCCCTTTTATTTCTGACTAGAATCTGACCTTAGAAACCTAATGAGTATGCTAATCTAATTTGTATATACTGTAAATATAAATACTATTTAATGTTTGTTGAATATAATTCATAGTGAACTGGGTACTGTACCGGCAAATGCTACTAGTTGAATCTCAGTAACGGCCTGTGACATTTTTGAAACAGTAGGCGATTGATTCACTACCCCTGTAGATACCATGGAAGCGCCTGAACAAGTTTAAAATCTATATAGATAATGAAGACATTGGACACCTATTGAAATGTTGCCTTATATCACCTTAACTTTAAGACAATTTCAACTCTTACCCGAACCATGTATAAAGGCTTTATGTATATAGCTAACCATTGGGATAAGAAGCTACTCGTATTGAGCCAGCATCTAGCATGTCTGCATACACCTTTTTTAAAATTATATCATATACTACCTAACATCAGCTGTATATTTACATACATATATCTCTACACGCTTCACCACACGACTCTTAGAAGTGATCTGTGAAAGGACTATGTGAATATATTTAATGCATCCTTCTGGAATCGATTTACTTCTGAAATGGGTGACATCGATATGGGGTTTGGACTAATAATTGCAGATGAGAGTATCACTACGGAGTCACCTCGGGGAGTATAATTGAAAGACACTCATCCTGTCTACCTGATATCTATCGGACATCCTTCAAGCAAATTAGGTAGCAGTACATACTTGGCCCTTTTGGGATATCCTATGGAACGATTTCTTTTCATTTTGAGTGGCTCTTTATATACATACTATATAGTATTGCCATCTAGCCTAATATAACATACTGGAATTCTTTTTATTTCAGGCCGTACTAGTGATTTACATATACATTGTTTCCTTTTTTTGTAATTTTCTTCTTTTATAAACCTTCGAGATTACATCTTAATAGTAAATTTATAAATGTTTACTGTGCAATGTTATACTTCTGAAGAATATCAATAACTGACCTTTTACTAGTACATTGAGTAATAATTAACAATAATACTGAAGTTACTGTCAGGCTATAAATATATCATTTCTCTACCTTGAGAAGTCCGCTCTACCAACACTACAAGGGTTAATTTACTAAACCTAGCGGTACCCTAATAAGAAGCATTAGCAGAAACTAGGCTTCTGATTGGTCCTTTTCAAAGGTTCATTTGCATAATGAATACGTTTCAATTTACTTGCTGTCGGCGCCTTTTCTCTGACCACTGATTGGTCCACCTTTTACAACAGTAGCATGGGATACTTATAAAACAGCTACCCAGCCGTCATTAAACTTTCAGCCCCTGACGAAGGTGCACGTTAGCGGCACCGAAACGCGCGTCGGGTTTTCCTTCACTTTTTTTCACTTCCCAGGGCACACTGTCACATGTGCAGGGACCAACATTCTAAGTATGGTCCGGCACATTAGCACGCTGTAATTATTCTTTTTCTTTCTCTCTCTCCTCCTATATATATTTTTTTCCCTATACTAGTGGGGGATTTAACTAATATATACCTGCTTTTACATCTAGCTTCACAGGCAACCAGGAGCAGTCCGTTGATTTTTTGAGGGCAACGTTGCTATTTTTATGGTTTATTTTCACGGGCTGGACATTTTGTTACTGTTTGGGATCCATGCAATGAGTGTAATCCCATATACAGTTACACAAATGACAAACCTGTTGAATAGTGTATAACAGGTCATGTTCATCCCCCTCTAGTCAGAGGATTAACACAGTATAGTTTGATTAATAAAGGCAGCAACATTACATTCAATTTTTGTTGCAAATCTGCCAATTTGATATTTTGACACTATACTGTGTTAAGCTACATGATGTCTACGATATCTGTATCTTTATACTTTACAGACATTGACACTGATTATAATATTAAAGTCAGAAGTCTGTTTTGATACTAACTCACATAGACATTAGGGAGGTACAGCTATTGATAGCTGGGGAGATATTTGTATTGATTGTTTTTTTGACTGTTTTCACAAACATTTTTCATTTATTCATTTTTCGTATTTTGATATTATCTATTTAACTCTATTTCCAGTTATTATTTACAAGTCTGGAGTATTGTCTTCAGATTTGTGAATTTTCTTTGATCTTTGCTCATTAAAGCTAACAATAACTTTCATGTCTCCCATTTTTTAAAAGCACCATAACCATTACAATGCCTTTTAGTTGTCAAGGTGCTTGGTGTGCACTGGAGCTCCCACAACGTAAGTAATCAAATCATTTGCTAACAGTTTGAATTCTTAACTGGAGTGCAGCACAATATAGTGCTCAGTGTTCCTTTAATACATTTTACTGAGTGAACTTATATTCAAATGACTTTGCAAAGTAGAACATTATAAAATAAATAAATACAATGTTAATATTTCACAACAAGAATATAAATGGACATTCATCATACATAAAGCATCCCAGTACGCTGAATTAATTGTATGTATGAATGTTTGTGGAATGTTTGTTCAAATGTTTGTTTTTGTGAAATATTAATATTTCTCAACATCACCTCTTATTTGCAGTGTATAATACTGCTGCATTGTATTTTAATAACTAATGTCAGCAACACTTCTTCGGATGTTAACCAGACAGCTGGTGAGGTTTTGTTCCTAATTCTGTTAGCTCCACACTCTGATAGAATGTGAATATCTCTTAGAATAATCTCAAATACTCAGGCCACCAAACTGCACATATATTCTTAGCTAATAGTTTGCATTTTATGGGTTCTCTGTGAAAAGCAAAGTCTTTTGGACTGAACACTTCACCCATTCTAATATAGAATATTTGATATACTGTATTAACATTATAAATTATGAATGCATTTTTAAATTTACATTACAAAAATAATGAACAACACATTTTGTGGATGATTATCTCTTTGAATGTGCAGCAGTACTTCTATTCAGTTTATATTTTAATATATCTACTTTATTGTTTAATAAAGAGAAATCATTCTAACTAGAGCACTAATCACTACTGTGAAGAATGTCATGTTAATGCCCAAATCATGTTTCATTTCAGATTTATAAGGTAGCATTTGTTTTTCTACCAGTCACAACATTAAGACTAATAACCAGCATAATTTAGTAGCGATCAATCATAAATTAACTAAGAAATTTAATTAAAAAGGGAAGGGGATGTTGACCTTGCAAACTGTCAACAGGGATATCACAGCTTACTTTACATACATACAAAGTATATCAATGCAAATTAATAATACGTTCCAAAAAGTAGTGAAATATTCTGTAGATAAATGCTCATTATCTAATTATCTTAATGAATGACAATGGTTCAAGGGAAACTACATTTTTAAATGTTACAGATAAAAGTTTTAGGGATATTGCTCCTTACTGCTTTTAACCACAGTTTATGTCTTTGTGCTGTTACATCTTATTGCTTGATAATGTACAAGTAAAATGGAAGGCTCTAACTTCTCAATAACGCAGTTTTTTATGATATTTCATCACTTTCATTTGACAGACTCATCTAGTATACTGCAAGTATCAAAATAATGGTTATTTCAGCCCAAAATGCTTTAATTCCTTCACTATTAAGTTATTTTCATTAAAATAGAAATATAACACACAGTGTGATCAAAAGCAAAGCTTGCAGTTTCTTATACAGATTGCAGTGGGATACCTAAATAAAGAAAAGCATATATGCATATATAGTTTATTGTATTATTATTATTATTTTTTTTACAGAAATGTTGGGGACAACATTAACCTGGTTAAAGCTATTTGAAAAGATCTAGATACTATTTTAGGAATGCACTCTCTAAAAAAAAGCCAGCCTACTGAAAACCTACATGGCTATTCAGCAAATTGAGAATTGCTGTAAATTCAAAGTGAATTCAAAATTAATTTCAAATTAAAGCCCAAAATTGAACTCAGAAGTGACATTGAGAATGCTTTCTAAATTGGTTATTTTGGCCTAAATATTGAAATTCACTTTGAATTCACTTTGAATTCTTACTTTGGTATATAACTCGACTAATGTCTTTCAGGGTTTACCACTCTATCACTAAAGAGAGAATTCAAAGTGACCTCTTCCCAACGTGTCATATGCCTCATGGGTTCCGTCTTTGTCTCGGTCAAAATCATTTTGTAGAGAGTAGAGATACCACGGTTCATGTGGAAGCGTAGTGTGCACAGATTTTCAAAGTCTGTTACAGGTCTATGGAACAGGTGGCGCCCATAGTGTGACTGATAGTAGTTTTTGACTTGGAAGTATCGGAATCTGTCGAGGC